TTATTGGGGGCTCTGACAGCTCTTATCCCAATCCATGCATCCATTGTGTCAAGCACATTGTACATCTGCTGCCAGCATCCTTCTCAAGACATTTTCTCTCTGCTGGAGCACTTCATCTTCTTAAGCCACCATCTGAAACCTTCCGTTCTGTTTGTGGGGCCTTGGTGGTGTGATGGTTATGCACTGGGCTGTGACCTGAAAGGTTAGCGGTTTGAAACCACCAGCAGCTCTGCGGGAGAAAGACAAGGCTTTCTACACTGGTGAACAGTTACAATCTCAGAAACGTATCCTGTCCTTTCCGGATGCTAGGAGTCAGTATGGACTCGATGGCAGTAAATTTGTTTTTCCGCTTCTGCTTTTACATCCTCATTTCTTCCGTTTGCGTTACCTCCTCTATCTTCAAGAGTAGGTCTCAGAGTCTCTCATGTGGTCTTCACACACACCCTCCACCCCCTTTCCTGTCTCTTTAATGACCTCTTGCTTTTTCATGTGTCCTGCCCTCAATGTTTCCCCCCACTTTAGCCTATCTTCAGTCATTAGTGTCCAATGCAGCACATTTATGCTTGAGATAGTTTCTAAATTCAGGTGGTATATCTTCAAGGTCCTACGTTGGCTCTTGTGGACTGGTTTACACTTTCTTCCGCTTCCACTTGAGCCCACGTACGAGCAATCAAGGTCTCTTCGGCAGCCGAGCCCCGGCCTTGTGTTGACAGATCGCATTGAGCTTCTCTCTGCAGATGGAGGCCATTTGAACCCTGTGCATTCCAACTTGTGAGAGCCATGTGTATAGCTACTGTTTGTGTTGTTTGAGAAAGGAACGAGGGGCTTAAAGTTTGGGGAAATGTCCACAATCTTTCGTTCTAGTTCCCCACAAACTTTTTCACGCTTCCTCGCCTTTGCAATGCACACGTCATTGGTCTTGCAAAATTCTATCGTGTGATTTCCTGCATCATATTTGAGGGTTCCCCAACCTGAGAAGCCCGTCTTCTGGCACCGTGTCAGACAATGTTCCATTGCTATTCATAAGATGTTCACTGGTTCGTTTCTTTAGAAGCACCTTTCCAAGTCCTCCTTCCTAGTCAGTCTTGGTCCGGAAGCTCTGCTGAAACTTGTCTACCATAGGTGACCCTGCTGGTGGGGGCTAGGCGGCGTGCAGTGGACAGGATTCCTTGGAGTGGCATCCTGCTGTGTATAAAGTGAGCCTTCTGAGAAGCAAGAGGAGGGATCTCAGTACTAGCAAGAGCCAGGAGTGGAGCATGTCCTCTGGCCCCAGGATCTGGCTGACCCCTGCCTGACCTTCAGCTTTGGGACTAAACAGCACCTGTCCTCAAACTCCTGGGGAACACTGCAGCTGTTCAAAGAACCCAGAAATGCGAGGGAACAGACCCAAGGGAGCAGCTAGGGGGAAATGGAGCAGGCTAGCTTCTTGCAAGAGCTGGACTTTGGGGAATTCTTCAATTTCCAACTCCTCGGGACTAATTTGGTATTTATTTATTTAGGTATTTATTTTTACAAAAGAAATTATGACCACAAGTTCATTGCCGCCCACATTACTCATCCATTATTTCAAGAGGCTGTTTTCAATTTGATTCCATATGGATAGTTCTTAAAAGAACATCATAATTAAGCGAATTTATTGTTTGGTGTCAAGGTTACTCCAGGTGGTATTTTTGGTTTAAGGTTTAAAAATTATCTCAGGGGAATAATCTTAGGAGTTCAGCCACCCTCCATAACTCCAGGAAATCTACCATTCGGGATATCATTTTTTAATACTTTAAAACAGTCATTAGGGTGGGATATTATTTTTAATACTTAAAACAGTCATTAGGGTAGTGAACTGCTTGTTGAATTATCTGTGTCCCACCACTGGTTGTATCCTTAAATAGAGTTCAGAGACTGCTGAAGATGAACTCATAATTGAGAATTCAAGAACAGATGAGGGAAGAATCTACCATTAATGAGAGATCACAGCATAATAGCTGAAGGACTTCAGATAGTTTATCATAAGAAGACTATAACAATGTATATTTTAAATTATACAATGTATATTTTAAATTTCTTAGAAGTAGGACAGGAATTCCCGAGACCATCCCAGGAAGAGCCACCCCATAATGAAGTAACTGGGTTAACAATGGCCTTGGGGAATGGCAGGGAAGGATGGGGGAAATGGGGCACTAACAATGAGTATGAGGAGAAAATATTCTGAGATTGATTGTGGTAATGATTGCACAAATCATATTAATATGATGGAACATTTAAATGATATATGTGAAATAAAACCATTTAAAAAATAACCAAAATAACAGCAACAGTTGTTGAGAATGAGGGGGGTTGGACCCGAAACCCATCTGTAGACAATAGGACATCCCCTCACAGAAGGGTCACAAGGAAGGGATGCGCCAACCAGGGTGCAGTATAGCAATGAAACACACAATATTCCTCTGGTTCCTTGAGGCTTCCTCACCCCTAACTATCATGACCCCAGTCCTGCCTTTCAGTTCTGGCTAGATCAGAGCATGCACACTGACACGGATAAAAGCTCACAACACACAGAATCCAGTTCAGATACACCCCTCAGAAGCAGAATTGGGAGTAGCAATACCAGGAGGGTAGGGAGAAGGTGGGGGTAGGATGGGAGGAAGGGTTAGGGTTATACCATATACCACCACCATCCTCAGGAGGATAAACAACAGAAACGTGGGTGAAGGGAGACAGCAATGGGTGTAAGATATGAAAACAATAACGATTTATAGTTTATCAAGGGGTTGTGAGGGAGGCGGGGGGAAGGAGCTGATACCAAGGGCTCCAATAGAAAGTCAATGTTTAGAAAATGATGATGGCAACACATGTACAAATATGCTTGCTACAGTTGGTGAATGGATTGTTATAAGAGCTGTAAGAGCCCCCAATAAAATGATTTTAAAAAAAATAAACAAAACCCAGCAGCAGAGCATACTTGAAATCCCTCCCTGCCAGAGGGAGTGGCAGAGGGAGCAGAGGGGAGGCCAAGGCAAGGAGACCCTGAGACAGGGCAGATGAACAGCCTTTCAACGATCACACTCTGAGGCAGAGCAGCAGGTGGGCTTCCTGGCCCTGGAGACAGGGGCCAAGGGATTGCATGGCTGCAAGGCTGAGGAACAGAGAGAGGCTTGGCTGCTGGCTGAGGAGGGGCATTGCTGGGACTAATGACCGTAGCTTTCATGTTCTGACTCCCCAGCTAACGTCCTCAATAACCCTGCATAACAGTGAGCCTTGTCTGTACATCCCGTGTGGCCATTGCAATGCATTATTGAGCCCACTAGAAAAGTAGTGTCACCGGAAGAATGGCTGCGGTCAGAAGGGGGTTTGAGAAAAGCTGGGAGGTGGAAGCATGCCTCATCCTCCCTTGTGGCAATCGGCCTGGGGTTGGTGTGGAGACAGCCGCCTCCTCTCTTGTGTAGACAGAGGGGCTCAGATGTGGCTCTACACCCTGTTTGCCGTCATCCTTACCTAGAGGTGGCCAAGTCTGTCGGCTGCTTCTCAGACCGCATCTTATTTGACAGCTTCTTTGTGGACATACGAGCCTCCATCATTTCTCTGCTCTTCCCAGTACCTTCTTAGTCTCCCTTTCCTGCCACTAAACTATTAACAGTCTTGAGATTTGTCTCTTTTTCTCCTACTCTTTTGACCTCTTCCCCTCTAACACAATAACATTTTCAATTCCTTGGTCTTTTGATCTCTTTTCATCCAAAACAATCGGTTTTTCAATGGGATAAAATTTTAAGTCTTGCTCATATTGATTGGTAGTTGTGAGACCAGGGGCACTTTGTAAACTTCTCTGAGCCCGTTTCTCCATCCATAATGGCAATGTGTCCTGTGTTAGTCTAGGGAAACTGGAGAAACAGATCCACAGAAACTCACAGATATATAAGAGAGAGTTTTATATAAAGGGTAAGTGTACATTCAGAAAGCATCCCAACCCAGTCCAGTTTAAGCCCATAAGTCCGACTTAGTCCATATGTCTGACACCAATCTACAAAGTCCTCCTCAAACCCACAAAACACCCACAAGGATGCCAAATGCAGGAGGATCACAGGCCAGTGGGTAGAAAGTCTTTGAATCCAGTGGCAGTGTAAGCATCTCAGTGCTGGCAGGGGTCTCCACACGGCTGCTCCAGCACCCAGGGCTGCATCGGAGTAGGTCCATGTGGCTTCTCTTCAGGGATGTCTTGCAGGAAGTGAGCCATGCCAGCTGAGGCACGGAACTAGCTAAGGCAGCTGCACACTGGTCTGATTATCAGAGAGCAAGAGACAGGAGAACTAGAAAGGCCAGGCTCACCGAGCTATTTATCTCTTTGCCCTTCAATTAATCCCACATGTATTTATTGGCCAGGTTGGCACAATAACCCTTAACTATCTCAGCTCCCTCACAGTATTGGTAGGATTAAATGAACTATGAATGTGTAACATGCCGAGGACAGGGCAAAGAGCAAAGGCTCAGTGCTTTTTATTTTTTAAACTATCCTTTTAAATTTCTTTTACTTTTGTTCTCTTCTCTCCCCTTAAATATAAAATAACAAACAAGATCCACTGCCAATGAGTCAGTTGTGACTCATATCGACCCTTTAGGATGGAGTAGAACTTTTCCATAGGGTTTCTGAAACTATAAATGTTTATGGTAGCAGACAGCCTCATATTTCTCCCACAGAGCAGCTGGTAGGTTTGAACCACCAACCTTGGAGGTTAGTAGTCCAATGCCTAATCCACAACACCTTCAGCACTTTGTTTAACCAGAGGTGGTTAAACAGAAGTCCAACTAAATGGAACCTTTCTTCTCCAACATTGGATGTCTGTCACCCTGTGAAAAACCAGACTGATGCAAGAAATACATGCTTAAAACATGAAAGTGCAGCACTCATCTTGCTCACATGATGATAGGGGACCAAAGGGGAAGCCGCTTTTGGTAGATAGTCTTCCGTTTTTTGATATAATAGAGTTGATGTTTACTCTTTATAATTCCAGGAATTTTGAAGAATCTGAGGATGAGTTGATCGATGTAGTGGAATCCCTAGAAAAACTTGCTCTTGCCAAGGAGGAAGAGATAGAAGAAAAAGCTTCAGGTTCTTCTGAGGATGCGGACAAGTCGGAAGAACGAGGAGAGAGAAGCACTCAGAAACATGAAGAGATAAGAGAATGTGCGGAGAGCATTCCGACTCCAGCTAATGTTCCGGAGCCATCTAATGCGATGGACTCCACTTAACACCATCCAAAATGCTGCTGTTGATGAAATCCAGGGGACATTAGCAACCACTCAGAATAGACAGCTGAGATTTTTCCCCTCAATAAATTAGCATGTGTTAACTCTCAGATCCATGACCAATGCCATCTTCTCATTTTGGTGCAGAGGTCTCACCAGTCATTCCAAGGATTTGTTCCTTTTCCTTCACTTAGACAATAGAACTAACCTTTGAGCCTGGAAACTAAGATATGTATTTTAAAAATTCTATTCAGCAATCTTTCAGATAGATGTGGCAGGTGAATGATGCCCTTTCCCCTGTGAAAAGGTGCCAGTAAGGCTGCAGGTGGAGCTGAGGTTGTTAATCAACTGAGTTTAAAATGAGACGATCCTGGATTTTCCGGGTGTCCCAGTGTCACGAGAGGGTCCTTAAAAGTGGAAGAGGGAGGCAGAAGAGCAGGAACCAGAGCGATGGCATCGTAAGAAAGGCCGAGGCTGGCACTACTGGTCCTGGAGGTGGAGGAAATCACCCATGATGTGTGTGGCCTCCAGAAACTGGAAAAGCCAAGGAAGCCAAGTCTCCTTAGGAAGTTCCAGAGAGGTACACAGCCCTACTGACCACTGGATGGTAGCCTGGTGAGAGTCCCTTTGGACTTCTGAACCCTGGCACAGCAAGGTAATAGAGTTGTGTTGCTTTCAGCCACTAAATGTGCAGTGATCTGTTTCCATGGTGATAGAAAAGGAATCTATGGTACAGAACGCATTCATTTAAATAATCTGCTACTTGATAGGACTGACGTCACTATTTCTTCCGCTCTATTGAAAACGCTATTTGGAGGCCAATGTTGACGACTAAGGCAATTGACCCAGGAGAGGAAGGAGGCACGTTGTGTGGAGGATGCAGCCTCTTCCTGCATCATGCTGGGTGCTTCACCTCCGGGGCTTGTTGGGACTGAGGTCGACTTGGAGGTCTACCTGCCGTGGGGCTGAGCAGCCTCCACGCAGAATACAGAGAGCGTGGTCAAACACTGGAGTCTGGAGGGCAGGGTCTTTGCCCAGATGATCCAAAAGAAGATTACTTTCAAAGATGACAAAAACCAAATTCCCACACCAATGCCAGTAAGTGGATTCTGACTCATAGTGACCCCGTAGGGCAAGGTGTCTAAGATTTTTAACTCTTTATGGGAGTAGAAAGCCTCATCTTTGTCCCTCAGAACAGTTCATGGTTTTGAACTGCCAGTCTTGTCGTTGGCAGCCCAAAGTGTTAACCACTCCACCACCAGAGCTAGTTTTTCAAAGCTGAAGGTTATTCTAAACTGTTCTGCTGGATTTGGGGCTGTCCTGTTTATGGCTATCCAATCTTTCTCCCAAGTGTCTTCGATTTATAATGAAAATGTCTTACTTTGAATGCCCCATTCTACTTTGAAAATTGATCATTTATTTAATCTAGAGTCCACAGGTTCACAAATTAAGAGGAATTTTGCCCCAAGATGGAATATGTAGAAAGTCTCCCTCCCTTTGATTTAGATGACTCGGAAGATGAGATTGGACTTGGAGTGGATTTAAAACTTTGGTGATGATATGATAGGGTGAATGTATTTTTTCATGATCGAAAGACTTGAATTTGGCAGAGGTGGGGGGCTATGCAAAAGGTGGAAGTATTGCATGAAACTGTGCCCCTCAAAAGTCTGTGTTGTCAATCCTAACCTCTATGCCTGTGGTTATAATCCCATTTGGGAATGGGTTGTCTTTTTTTTTTTTTTAATCATTTTATTAGGGGCTCATACAACTCTTATCACAATCCCTACATACATCAATTGTGTAAAGCACACTTGTACATTCATTGCCCTCATCATTC